GGGGGGGGGTGTGTGTGGGTCGGCCGTGTGTGTCTGGCCATTGCTGGAGAGCTGGTTGTCTGTCAGACGTGAAGTGAGCGCGGATGATGCGGCGCCCCGGAGAGAGCTCATGACCTGCGACATCTGACCGGCTCCTTGAACCCTCAACTGGACGCAGGTCTGCCGCGCGGAGAGACCGATGAGCTGAGCGTGTACCTGCAAGCTGCTCAGAGGCAGATCCTCCGCAGAACACGCCCTGATAGAAAAGGTAGACACACACACACACTCTCTCAAGCCGGATCACTGAGGAGCTGAGCTGCGCACCTGGAAAACAACAGCCCCAATGCTCCACCGCAGGCTCGCACCGCCGGACTCCTACCACCAAATGAAATCGGGACGCGTTGATCATCACGGACTTTGGTTTGTCCCGAGGAGCTCTTTAATTCACGCGCGCGGCAGCTCGGAGCACCTGGACACCCCGCGGGACTCTGCGGAGGAATAGAGGCCGGTTTTGTTGCACCGAGCGGAGCGTCGTTCTACCGGCTGGCTGCGGCCGAGCGAGCACCATGAGTAGGAAGACGCGGCGCTGGATCTTCCACTTTTTCCTGTGCCTTGGAGTGTTGTATCTGAAGATCGGGTGAGTTATTGCGGGGGATGTCCTGCTGTGCATTCTCACACAGTTTACGCTTCTGCAAACGAATGCAGGAAAAAGAAAATATTTTAAGAACATTTGAGAAATAAAAGTTCCCCCAAAAGTGAGAAGTAGGGGCCTTTCTGGTTTCGCTTCTCTTGCAATTCATTAACTGATTATTACATTCATTTTGGTGGAGGTGTAGGAACGCAATACAGTTCTATGCATGTGTGATGAGTCAGAGAAGTGTCTATAATTTCTCCAGAAGAAAAAAGCCCGACTTAAAACACCTGCAGAACCTACACAGGGAAGAACAGCCACATTGTAACCTGTCACCTCCACCGCAGGGGTCTGTCCTCGGTGGTCGCACTGGGAGCGAGCATCATCTGTAATAAGATCCCCGGCTTGGCCCCCCGTCAGAGGACGATCTGTCAGAGCCGACCCGACGCCATCATCGTGATCGGAGAGGGGGTTCAGATGGGGATCAACGAGTGCCAGTTCCAGTTCAGACACGGACGCTGGAACTGCTCGGCCCTGGCGGAGAGGACGGTGTTCGGGAAAGAGCTCAAAGTGGGTATGTTGCACTTTTGATTTCATTTCAGCCAGCTGTGCACCAAGAACGACAAAAACTAAAAATAGAGCTATAAGTATTTACTAATCGAATGTATTGTTCTCATATGACAGGCACTGCTGGTGTTCCCATAGAAGTCTATGTAATTATGGTGCTGTTGAATATCAATATAAATATGACTACATTACTACAGCTGCTGTTTTGGAAGGAGACAGCTACTAACTGCTTATTAAGCTGAGAGCTCCACTTCATCACTGAGCTCCATATTGTTGAAACATGTCATCTTCACAGTTACAGCGCTCACGAGATTGTTTTCAAACAAGTAAGTAGTTATTACTGAGAATGTGTTTAATTACTGCATAACATAGTAATAAACACAGCATGTTTTCCTTGATGTCCTTGAGTCGTATGCTATCTTTACCTTTTAGGAAGTCATAAAAAAAACTTTAGAAAATTGCTATAATTTGTCAGAAGAAGAAGAAAACAACCCAACAGGGCATTCCTCCCACGTTGACCTCTGACACTTTGACAAATGTCTGTAAGTCTGAGAGCTCAGACTCGGTGCATCTGCTCCCGGTGGGGAAAGAAAAACAACCAAGCCACAGATTTTTCATCCCGTGTGTGGAACAAGGCTGGAGGCGATGTTCTCTCCAAAGAGAAGGACTGCGGAAATAATTGGGGAGAATCAGGTTTAACGCACTGGTGTTCAACTGTCGGTTGTATGCCTGCAATGGTTGTACTGGATGACTCGGCTTGCTTTAATACGATGTGTTTCTGTTTGATGTGTGGATGAGCGTACACTGTGGCTCTGTGCATGCAGTGATGAAGCCTCTTTAATGGCCTCCTGATCATGATGGTGGAGATGTCTGATCGCTACCATGACTCTACGTACTGTAACCGTCCATGCTCTCCTGTAGCTGGTAACACGCGGAGCTCCATGCTCCTTATCTGCTCTCAGCTAAAGCTCCGTCATGTATGTGCATAAATCATCTACCCACCCCCCCCCCCCCCCCCCCCCTCCTCCTCCTCCTCCTCCTCCTCCTCCTCCTCCAAAAAAGAGCTTCAAGTTCAGACAAGTACTCTCTTCTAGGTTTACAAATCTTTACCTCCCGGTCCTGCAGCTTTGGCTGAGGATGTTTTATGTGGAATAATTTCAGACCACTACACTATTTTTTTTTTTAACGCATATCCTCAGATTTGAAAAATAACTTCCACGTTGCATGGAACCAAATTCTACCCAAATTCAGATGAGGTTCCAGGTCGGGTCCACCTGCCCTGCACACAGTCTGTCTGACTCCATTGTTCTGTTTCGGTAGGCTGGAACACTGATAACTGACAAGAGCACATCAACTTGGGATTGTGCTTGGCAGCGATGCAGCGATGTACAGTATTTTGGCTTTAGGATCAAGAATGTTTCCCCTCACCCACCAAGTGAGCTCCATGAAGCAGCTCACTGTGGGCACTGGCTGCTCCTCCGCTGGCTGTAAAGGGTCAGTCTGACGTCTCAGGCTGACGCATTGGATAGCAGGAGGCCTCTGTTCAATTCTGAAAGATGATGACATTTTCAGAGCATTGTTCTTGCATCTTATGCTCATTCTTTTGAATGTTTTTTACATGTGCTCCAACAGGTATTATTTTCATCTTTATAAAAAAAAAAGAAAAAACACAGTTGACCTGAAGCGCTCAGATTTATGGAGTGGAAATCCATCCATGTAGGGAGGCGCTGCATGCCTCTCAGATGCACCTCACATGTGCGACGGCGGTTTGGTAGAATGCCATAAATGATGCCTAAACAATCGTTATGTTTTTATCACCCGCTCAATGGGCTAAAAAACAACAACATCTTTACCACTCAAATATATACTCGGCACATTGACTGTTAATTGGTCAATTTATTAAAATATAAAGTCTAGTTTGACTTTGATCATAACTCATCCCAAAGACAATGTCTTCTACTCCATTCCAAACTGCTCTGTTATATTTTCTGCACGATTCAGAGCTTCTTCCTATATCTGCTGTAACTGAGCTTGATTGAGCAATTGGACTTGGCTCGTGTGTTTTATGATTTGCTCCGAGGCAGCTATGCCAGGTATGCGAGGAGTCTTGACAGTGCCTGAAATAGTGAATCCTGTTGTCGGCAATTGTGATTAAAATATGCATTTTTTTCTCTCTTTCTCCCAATCGCAGGCAGCAAGGAGGCCGCGTTCACCTACGCTATCATCGCAGCCGGGGTCGCCCACGCCGTCACCGCGGCCTGCACCCAGGGGAGCCTGAGCGGCTGCGGCTGCGACAAGGAGAAGCAGGGCTTCTACAACCAGGAGGAGGGCTGGAAGTGGGGCGGCTGCTCCGCGGACGTCCTCTACGGCCTGGGGTTCTCCAAGGTGTTCGTGGACGCGCGGGAGATCAAGCAGAACGCCAGGACTCTCATGAATTTACACAACAACGAAGTGGGACGCAAGGTACAGCTCGTCTTATTAATAATAATAATAATAATAATAATACAATTTATTTATAGAGCGCTTTTCACAGACAGAAAATCACAAAGTGCTTAACAGAGCAGAAATTTAAAAGCATAAAAAACACATTGTGACCCTATAGGGTCAATAAATTACATACACAGAGAGAAAATCAAAATCAAAAATCAAAATTAAAACATATTTTAAGAGCAGATCTAGGACATGGGTTTTTACTCAAACGCCAGCCTAAAAAGGTGGGTTTTGAGCTGTTTTTTGAAAGTATTCACAGAATCTGCGAGGCGTAGAGTCACAGGCAGAGCATTCCACAGCCTCGGCGCCACTGCCTCAAAGGCTCGGTCACCACGGGTCTTAAATCGTGTGCGTGGAACTAACAGAAGACCTAGAGCGTTTGACCTGAGAGTGCGGGCGGGTGAATATGGAGTCTGACCTTTTGATTTATCTGAACAGATCCAGAAATCCACTTTATTTCAAATATTAAAGGGATAGTTTGGATGTTTTGAAGTGGGGTTTTGTAGTCAGTGTTTGACTACAGTAGATGGAGTTTGGAGAAACAGACAGGAGAAGCAGCACAGGAGCAAAGCATTGTACTGCTGTGGACGTATTTTAGACACCTAAAAAATCTGTTTAAGTTGATGCTGTATTTAGAATATTCTATAATAGGACACACCATGGAGTCCAAGGTGCACCCTTCCCTTCTATCTCAGGCTTGGACATGGTGTCAGTCTGTCTCAGGGTTGATGCTAGGAATGCACCGATCCAACTTTTCCTCATCCAATACCTCAACTCAGGGTACCTGCCGGTACCGAGTATCTGTCCCTTTAGACTGACGCAGGGAAATACATTTCATTCATCAAACTGCATCATGAATCTCTTACTGACCAAAAATGTCTTACATCACATTCTTCAATAAATGTCTTTTAGCTGACAGTGGCCAACAACATCTCACCAGACAGGCTGGTCTCATCCAGCATTTGTAGCTATACCTTTGAAAAATAATCCGCCCCAATTCGTAGATATGCAACGAAATTACCACAAGATCACACACAGGGTGGGCGGTCCAACAAACAGTGATCTTTCAGCCAGGAGACCGCTGTTCGTTCCCCGTGTGAAACGAGAAGTCAAAGTTGATTTATTCGTCATGTAACTTGTGTAATGTAGTTAACGCACTTCCTTAGTTATTTTACCCAAACTACAACATTTTCCCAAACTTAACCAAGTAGTTTTGCTGTCTAAACCAAAGTAGTTTCCTGTGAAGACGGAGGTTCGATTTGAAAAGTCCGTATTCATATAACGATCGGAATGTGACACGGGTGGCTGGCTTTCGTAGGATAACGCATGAAAAATAAGAGGTAACTTTTCGTGAGATATCATACTGTGTGAGGAAACATTGTACCAGGAGTTCAACCTACCAATCAGCCAACAGCCCAGTATGTAACTGGTCATTGAGTAATTTCACAGCAACATATTACAGCAGATATATGTCCAGAAATGTGCAGTAAATAATTATTATTAGGTAAATTGTGTCATTATCTCCGCTAGGCCTGTGGGCCAAACCTTACCTAGTCCGTTGTAGGCTACATTGGGGGCTTTGCCATGGCTGAAAAACTGACATCGATTGAAAAATTTGGTCTCATTTTGAACCGAAGCATATGCAGATTATTTCCAGACCCAATATGTGATGATCCACAAACGTTAGGCACGATACGAGATGAATAAAGCCTCGTTTTTGTTATTATGTTGAGTGAAATTCAAGAGGAAGATACCTGGTGGACTGAGTGCACGACTGACTGCACTTATTATTCAGCCCTGTTTTAGTCTATACAAGTTAGTCTGTATCATTTTCTCACTTTGGGGCATTTATACTTTTGTTATTAGACATTTGTTAATATACAAGGTTTACACATGGTTTGTTGATCAGCTGATGGGTAGAATCTTGGTAGGGGTCTGAGATTGGCAGCGCACTTGTTTCAATGACACAGTGAGAGAGTACATCATCAGCGCAAGTGAGAGTTGCATGTCTAGAAATAAAGCCAAATTGGAGGCCAAAGAGGACAAAGTGTGGTCAGATCCTACTGGTATTTAGAGAACACAAGTAATGTAGAGTCAAGAGGTAAACAGCGTTCGACAAGATGCACAGTGAGATGAACCCATGACCATATTAGAGTGCATTAGCTTGACTGATGTTGTTTACTAGGGGACAGACGGAGCCAAATAACAGATCAATAAAAACTGCGGGACTGTCCACAAAATGGCCCCATAAGAAAGCAATATGTTGGAAAAAAGTCCCAGCAGGAACATGCTAGATCAGTGGAAGACTGAGAAAAGCTTCTAAGAATAGCCAGGATACTGCCCTCATCCTCGATAACTCAAAGTGTTACGATTTGCCGGCTAAGGTTTGTAAATCTGCGTGGTATATATGAAGCTACAGCCTGTTAGCTTAGCTTAGCATAAAGACTGGTAACAGCTACCCTGGCTCTCGTTGGACAAAACAAGCAATGTGAAGACCATACTTTGGACTCTGGGAAATTGTGATGAGCACTATTAAACCTTGGCTTACATTTGAATAATGAATTGATTCAGTCGAAAACAATACTCTTTAGAACTACTAGTTTAAGCTAGCGAGGCTCGCATAACAGATAACGCGGTCAAAGCAAATCTAACAACCAAATCCCAGGTGCTGTCCATCTTGTCTCATTATTTGTTGATTCCTATAGAGAGACGAAGTCCCGCCCCTTTCGGTGTCCTTTGTGAATTCTGCCATGAATTACACATATGATGTTGGTCAATTTAAAAGATAATTTTGCAAGTTAAGAAAGTTGAAAATTGTCGTAGGTTTGTCGTGGTTCCATTTTGTTTTGTGTGAAATCGCTCAGTAAACTACATCTCTTGACACCAACATGGTCCTTACCTTGTCTTGCTAGCTATCTGGCTGCCTCAGCTATATTCCAAGCTCACACATTATGTTTTCTTATCCGATGTGGTTCATCCAGCGACTGGTTTTAGCAACTGTGAAGAGAAATAACGAGTAAGACCCATTGTTGGTGTGATCCCAGTACGAAAAACACACAGGCATTCTAATTTCTAGTCACGTATTTTTACGGAAACAGTTTTATAACAAAATGCGACTTTCTTGACAAGCAAAATTATCTTTTGAATTGACAAACATCATGTGTGTAATTTATGGCACAATTCAAATGGGATTCAAAAAATGACTTGTCTCTCGCCGTTGACTATCATACATATTTATTTCAGAAAAAGGTCCCATGGGGGGTCCACCGGAAGGGGCGGGTACTTCGCCTCTCTATTTCATTGCATAGATGCGTATGAGTGGTTCTAGAACTTACCGTAGATGCTGAAGCTGGGATGTTCCCAGCGATGTTTCAGTTGTTTTCTGTGTGAGAGCGCCAAAAGTATCTTCTATTGTTTCTATTCGTGAAAATTCCTCAATATGCATTACTTTGAGGACTATACATGAAAATGTGTATTTGGAGGACTGTGCTTATAAACATTGAGAAGCTGAGAAGTGAAAATGCTTACAGAGATATCATGTTGGTGCCATAGTGACAGGTCGTGGTCCCATTCAGGAGGAAAGAGGAGAACTTCCATCTCTCTTTAGTCTTTGGGGCTTTATGTTTGAGGTCTGGCACCAGTCAGTATGTGACACAGCGTGTGAATCTCTTAATATACACCTACTGAACTGATACCTCTGTAATTATTGTAGTAAGGCTTTCATGTTTAATTGGAGATGAGTGTGTGTGTGTGTGTGTGTGTGTGTGTGTGTGTGTGTGTCACTGTGAGTGCCAACCTTTACATTTCTTGAGAAGAATAAACAAAAAGATGAAATAGAGTAAAAGGTGCCGTGGGAGGCTTACTGTTAGACAAACAGTGGCAGCTTGGTTGGCACTTCACTTCACTGAACGCCATGAATCAAATGCTTGTCAGGTCTCGGGGGCATGACCACGCTAAGCCGTATGCATCCAGGGCTTTTGACAATTACCCCGCGGGACTCCAGAGAGTCTGAGGCCACATCAGAGGGGAATGATTCAAAAGCAGGGTGAGGCTTTCGCTAACACCGGCGAGGGTTCCCTCTCAGGGAGGAGGAGGGAAAAGGGTGAGCTGATGTCGCTCAGCCTGCGGCACACACAGAACACCGCGGCCGCTTCGCCAATCACACCGAAACGCCTCTACTCTAACTCTGGACACAGGCCTTTCACCGCTGCCATCAGCTCGCTGTAACCGCCTCCATGTCTCCAGTCACCAAGAACTCGTGAATTAAGCCATGCTTCTGACTGGATTAATCGCCTCGTACCGATTCATTCTATTCGAATCCCATACAAAGAATAGTTTTGTGGTTTCGCTGCATGTTTCTCCATTGCTCTTGTCCATAGTAAAGCAATGAATGATCTTTGAGGTTTAGGGCTCTTAAATTTGGTTTATGTTGCAAAGTATCCCATCTACTCTAGTTATTAAATCCAGATTAAAAGAACAATGTAATGCAAAATAGCATGTGCAGCACAAATCAGTTATTGATTTTCTAATTTAGAGGGACTCTATCGCTTATTTCTCCCAATTTTTCGTTAACTGGAAACATTTCTCGGGATGTTTACTGAAATTGTATGTTTGCAGCAGGAACAACACAAACCTTAAGGTGCATGGGTTTGTTCAATTTGAAAAAAAAATCAGTTTGAATCGATCATTTTAAAAACATCCAGAGATTTTTTGGGTGAAAATCAGTAAAAGACAAAAACAGATTCTTGTACAAACACACTTCCCTCAATGCATCTCAATAGCCCATTAATGCATTATGATACAATGTTATATATATATGAATCTGAAATGGGCCTTTCTGCATATTAGTACTTTTACTTTTCAAACTTTAGAATTTTTTAGTGCTAATACTTTTGTACTTCTGTAAGATTTTGAATGCAGGGCTTTTACTTATAAGAGAGTATTTCTAAACTGTGGTATTACTACTTTAAGTTAAAGATCTGAGAACTTCTTCCACCACAATTTCACAAGTTTTTATCATTTTTAACATGACCTACATGAACTTAGAAGGGTTCGTTAATTCCGTGAATGTGTTTTCAGACTCACCCTGTCTTGTAAAAAGAATGGCACACACATAGCTACTGGCCATAGGGCGACATACTGTAGCAGCTCTGAGATCTCTGGAATGCTTGCATTCATTTGGAATTTAGAAAACTTTTGTCTCAACCTGTTGAACTATTCATGCAATATGTTAGACTCGGTATTTCTGCAAACTCATGTGTTTCTTACTTGCTCATTATGGGAAGACGGCAACAAAAGAGCTGTAGGAGATAAGAATAATTCTTAACTTTGATCTTATGATGGTGGAAAACATCTAAGTTCAACGCAATGTATCGGGCAAAGCTCGATCTAAACAAATTAAATAATTAAATGTGACTGGATTTCAGTTGGGGGGCTGCAACTCAGCACACGTTTTGGTTTGAAACTTTGAAACCGTTGCTCCATCTCAACTTTCCCCTCTACGTTGTAGGTCTTGGAGAAGGGCATGCATCTGGAGTGCAAGTGCCACGGCGTGTCGGGATCCTGCACCACCAAGACGTGCTGGACGACGCTCCCCAAGTTCCGCCAGCTGGGATATGTCCTCAAGGACAGGTACAACCAGGCCGTGCATGTGGAGCCGGTGCGGGCCAGCCGCAACAAGCGCCCCGTCTTCCTGAAAATCAAGAAACCCCACTCCTACCGCAAGCCCACGGACACGGAGCTGGTCTACATCGAGAGGTCGCCCAACTACTGCGAGGCCGACCCGCTGACGGGCAGCATGGGAACGCAGGGTCGCCTGTGCAACAAGACGGCTCTGCAGCCCAACAGCTGCGACCTGATGTGCTGCGGCCGAGGATACGACACGCACCAGTACTCGCGCGTTTGGCAGTGCAACTGCAAGTTCCTGTGGTGCTGCTACGTGAAGTGCAACACATGCAGCGAGAGGACAGAGGTGTACACCTGTAAATAGAAATATTTATTGGGCATGTATTTGGACGAGCGTGGCCGATACACGCGTGCGGAGTGACTGACATTCTCTCAACAATCACGACACCCGGTTCCTCCAATGTGTGTCGATTATACTGATGCCAATGGACATCTGCCTTGACACTGGACTCAATCTATGGGCTTATACATTTTATTTTTTTCATTTGAATGCCATTTCCTGCCCCAGGCTTGACTTCTCTGCTGGCATGACTCACCTCAAGCAGTTGTTTTTATTTCTAGACTAATAATTTATTAAATGAGAAAACTACTGATGATTTTGGAAAATTCACTGTTGACTAAATCTGGTAAGGTTTTAAGTTGGTGTAGATGCCTTCAAGTGGACTTAAAAGCATTTTTTTTTTTAACAAGACAACTTACACACTGGAGCTCTACTGAAAGACACATTTGCGAGCCTGCAGCTCATGTGCTTTAAGCCTAGCAGAGGAACATTAAACTACTGATCCTGGGCTCGCTATGATAGTATTGTTTCCACTCGTCTCTGTCCCCGTCCCCCACAGTTTGCTGCTAGTTGTCTGGAATGTTACAGAGTTTGTGACTTAGCAGCAATATTGACTCTTCAAGCTAAGATGAATGTCACCAGGAGCAAATGCGAGCTTCCAGACATGACTTCCCCCTTAATGTTGATTGATAGAATATATTTTGTAAGAGATTATTTTTATATAATATTTTTTTTAATTTATTTTCTATCTCTATGTAAGATATTTTCCCTTAGCATTTCTAACTGTTGAGTTACTGAGTTTGCCACTGAAGCACTGTTTTGAAAAATTGTGCCTTGTTCCTCGGCAGTGGAACACGATAACGTTGAATGAAATGTGCAGCATTGTGATTCATAACCCATTTTAGGAAACTTTATCTCACCTGGCTTTGCCACCTGTAGAGAGACAAAGTCCTGACGTCACCACCATGCTAGCTGCTGTTCCGCTAACGTTAGCTTACGAAGCTTCTTTCATCTGCCTTTCTGAAAAAGTAAAATGTCTTTTTGTGGTTTACCATCTATAGCCTAAGTTCAACTAGTATCTGCAACAGCTTTTGCCATTCAAATTCAAACCCTTGGAAATTTAAACAAAGGTTAAACAAAATAATCATTAGCATAATGCTATACATTTTTAATGGTGCGGTACGCCTGTGGTACGTATTAGCAGTAATACGCCATTGTAACTGTGGCTCTCTCTGTTAGCTATGATACCCACCCTCGTGTTTTTGTCATCTTTCCATCTTATGAGCTGTAATCTCTGCTGTCTAAACAACGTTTGGGTCATTCTGCCATGACTAGCATGACGTGTGAGTAACAAAGGTCTTTAATGGTGTTTGTTAAAGGCTGCTAACAAGGAAAAATTAATAAACATAAATAAATATTAAATTTTTTTCTAAAACTATCTATCCATCTATACATATGGATTGAACCACATGACCAACCCATTCTCACTCCCAACACGTCAAATTCCGACGCTTGGTCATTGGCATGATACAGATGCCAAGGTGCAGCCTTTAGCATCTGTATGGGACGCACTGGGCTTTCAAATCTGCATCATTATGAGACTTCATAGCAACCGAGAGAGTATAAAGAGGGAGGAAACCTGTTAAGGGCAGATGTGAGGGGAGGTCGGACAGGTCAAGCAAACACAGGACTTTCACCCAGGAGACTGCCTGCTGTTTATGTCCAAGATAACTTACACACTTAACTACACTGGTTACCCAACAAGCGTTCTTATTTTACATAAAAACATACTTATTTGAACCCAAACCATGATGGTTTCCTCAGCCTATCCAAGTACTTTTGTTGTTGAAGTAAACCTAAAAACTAAGTAAACCTATGTTGGAAGTTAATTTTAAAAGACACTGACGAAAACTGTACATTTCTTGTGAACACAGAGGACTGCTTTGAAAAGAAAAGCATCATAGTTTGAAGTGTAGGACCACTGACCAGGTGCTGGTATTTAGCGAGTTGGGAGTGAGACTGTTGAGGTTATTATATTTCAGGAACAGAATCTGGGAGTTACAGTTTCACTGTGGCTCTCTATGTGGATAAGCACCAATACACAGCTCTACTTTTGGGCTCTTTGTCTATTCTCTCACCAACACCAAGTAGGGCTGGGTATCATTTCATATGAATACTTAAAAAAAAAAAGATCATTAGACAGTCAGAAGTAGAGAGATTGGGAAGAGATGGACGGTGGAATATCCAACAAATGGTCGGATCCTTGAACTCTACACGTCCAGGACATCAGCTGTACAAAACTAATATACCTGAGTTTCTCTACCAATACAAAAACAAAATGAGTAAAATAAATAAATATGAAATATCTGATTGGGGAATAAATAAACAAGACAACAAAGCCAGACCAAGCAATTCAATCCAATCTTCTAATACTTGATAGTCTGAACTTAATGACTTTGACATTGTGATACCCAGCCCTAATACTTCAACATATAACAACCAATCCTAACCGGGACACTAGTGGCCAGTTGGGATTGTACAGTATACAGTAGGTTGATGGGTGCAGCAAACAATGCAGTTTTTTTTTTAAATTCACAGTTCTCTCGTTAGGTTGTTAAAAAGACTTTCGAGTGACGTGACATTCAGTACTGACTCAGTCCTTGTTAAAGCTTCTTCTTGCATGAGACTGAACTGACGAAGCAATATCGCCCGCTGCTGCAGTGCTCTTAAATCAGAGGTCACTGTTGACGTATTCCAAGTAAAACCACGTTGTCTTTTCATTCATCTTTTGGCTAATAAAAGTTGTTGTTGTGGGAGGTCATTTTGTATTTGAGACACATCTTTCAAGTGTTATGATGAGGACGGATCAGAGTGAAGTGGGTGTGATTGAGGGTTGCAGAGGCTGTCACACCAGTGTGTGTGTGTGTGTGTGTGTGTGTGTGTGTGTGTGTGTGTGTGTGGGAGTGCGGAGCTGCTGGCTGATGGATTACTCTGACATCTGCTTCATTCACTCCTCAACGACGTTGCTACAACAACCACACTGTGCCCCCCAAAAATGCTCTTGGTCTCATCAAGAGGCCAGACTGCCCATTAACAAAATGGTAACCATGCAAAACCCAGATCAAATTTGGACGCTATTTATTTTGTGGAAATGGCAAACGGGACGAAAGCGGGGGGTGGGGGGGGCTTTACAATTGCAAGGAGATGATGTCAAGAAGGATTTCAGTCCGAGCAATAGAAAAGGTCTTCGCTCCCAGAATAATCGGCACAAAACATTCCTCAGCTAAACTTCGCCTCAATAGAGTGACGCTTTGAAAAGGCAGCTGGCCAAACAGCCTCACCAAGAGTAATACCAAGGCTCTGTCACCGAGGACCCAACAACGTTATTCCAGTGTCTGACAGAGCGCCGGCTGGTTACATGCTTCACTTTTCTATTCACAGGGCCGATAATGATATGCTCTCCAGCTACTTCTGTCAACATGAAATAGACACACGGATACCTGAACATGCTGATTGCCTATTTTCCTATTTTCTGTCTTATGATACTCCTTCTTTCCACTCACTAACCTACCGCTGTATGCATGTGACGTTGGTTCCACTTCCTAACAATACATCCTTCCTCATTAATGTGGATTTTATTTATTTATACAATATAATATCTTGCTGGTCAAAACTGAAAGGTTATTGTTGAAACAATCATTGACAAAACTGTGATGAAAGCCACAATGTCCAATTTTATATTT